ACTCGACTCTTGACTCGACTTGAACTACTGACTGACTATATTTAGTCCCCCCCCGCCACGTGGGCATCATGTGACACAAGGTCGGTTTAACGTGGGATCTCCGAGCCCGTGGGCTCGGCCAAAAATATGCCCATTGAACCCGTATAAACGGGTTCAGGGTCGGTTTACCTCCCCGAAAGAGAATCCGCCCTTCGGCGTAGCCTCCTTCGGGTTCCTCCCCGCCCGGAGGCAGAGAGTTCAACAGAGCAGCCGGTCGTGACTTGAACGACTGACTATATTCAGTCACCACCCCCCACGTGGGCATCATGTGGCACAAGGCAGTTTTTAACGTGGGTTCTCCGAGCCCGTAGGCTCAGCCCCAAAATATGCCCATTGAACCCGTATAAACGGGCTCAGGGCCGGTTTACCTCCCCGAACGAGACGTAGCCTCGTTCGGGTTCCTCCCCGCCAGAAGGCAGAGAGTTCAACCGAACAGTCGGTTTAGAAGTGAACGACTGACGATATTCAGCCAAAACTGGGGCATCATCTGACACAAGGTCGGTTATTTATTGAGTGTTCTCCGAGCCCGTGGGCTCGGCACAAAAATATGCACATTGAACCCATATAAACAGGCTCAGGGCCGGTTTACCTCCCCGAACGAGACTCTGCCCCTCGGCGTAGCCTCGTTCTGGTTCCTCCCCACCCGAAGGCAGAGAGTTCAACCGAACAGTCGGTCAGAAAGTGAACGACAGACTCCTTGCCTACTCCTGAGGCTCAGTATTTATTATGTATACAATAGTCCATTATTATTATTATTAATAAGGTCCCATAACAGCTAGTACTTTCCCGGGTTTATCTCCCACCATTTATTCTTCAGATGAAAGAGTCTCCGTTTAATGTTGTTCTTAGTATCATTGATTGTATCAATCACCCTATTGTGTTTCGCGTCATCAGTTATATCGAAAGAGATATAAAAGGGTCTTTCATTTCTGTTGTAAAATCACTTTCAATTTCTGCATCGCTGTCATCAACCAAAACTAAGTGTTTCCCTTCCACGAAACCTCACTGTTTATGCTACAGACATAACGGTTAAAGACTCGCCATTTTCTCTCACAATCAGCCTTGTGCAAGCTCGTTAATCAACTGCTTATCTCTCCAACATATAAATATATATAGCATATAAATTACTATAAAGTAATTTGTACGCATTATTTATCATCTCTCAGCTGCCTTTCTGTCCTTGGACAGAATGCGCTCAGGGGCTTCTCTGTCAAAGGACAGAGGGGCAACTGATGAAAATTATACTGAAGCGGCGCCCAGCCCTGAGGAACAGCTGCCCGAGGTCGCACCCTCCCATTGCACAAGAGGGAGGGATCGGTGCTCGCACCGAGGCCCGCGCAACCGACGGTTGCGGGGGCTGAGGGGAATTTTTGACCCAGCCCGGGTGCACGCGCTCGGGTCCCCACATTAATCCGACCTTGTGTCACATCTCATTCTCGTGGGGGAATGAGTAATCACCGCTTATTTCTCCAACGGGAGAGATAGACCTTCCTCCGAATGGTCACATATCAGGAACGCACTCTTGTTTTCATAAAAAATTGATTCAGCCTGGCAAGTGCTAATCGATTATAAGCCTATCACCCAGCATCCCTCATAGCACTAACACAATAGACATTTTGAATGGCTCGTATTCTCAGAAGTGTATATAGTCCACTAGGTACCAGTGTACATACACGTTGTCTTATAATTGGTCTACCCTTGGAACCTGGTATCCCTATTAAATTCCCTAACAATATATTTTCAAGTGCACTTCACGTTTTATAGACCCACCTATACTGATATCAAACATGACTAAGAATGAAAATGGTACCAGCGCTAGGGTACTTTTAGCAAACCGTCTTTCCGTTTGCATTATGTCTGGTTTGATTTGTTTCTCAGTATATCAACCCATTTTGCCATCTTAACGCCAAAATTTAATGAATTGTTTTATGTTTGGAATACAGTTTGAGAACTTTAAGAAATTTTCGAATATTGTATAGATTAATCTGATGAAATAGTTTATATCAACCTCTATGGCTTATTTAATGTCAGAATCTAAATATTTTGTACACAATTTTATGGTTTCAACTGCCAATAAAATGTATTGCTGGTCATTTTCCTATAAAAAAAGTATTGTTGGAAATTCTTCTATAAAACGTGTGGCTTGTCATTTCCCTATAAAATATATCATTGGTAATTCTACTATAAAATGTATTGCTGGTTATTTTCTTATAAAATATATCATTGGTAATTCTACTATAAAATGTATTGCTGGTTATTTTCTTATAAAATATATCATTGGTAATTCTACTATAAAATGTATTGCTGGTTATTTTCTTATAAAATATATTATTGTTAATTCTACTATAAAATGTATTGCTGGTTATTTCCCTATAAAATATATCATTGGTAATTCTACTATAAAATGTATTGCTGGTTATTTTCTTATAAAATATATTATTGTTAATTCTACTATAAAATGTATTGGTGGTCATTTTCCTATAAAATGTGTCATTAGTAATTCTACTATAAATTTTATTGCTGATCAATTTCCTTTAAATATGTATTGTCGGTCATTTTACTATGAATATGTATTCCTAGTATTTTTATTATAATTTTTTTTATACGTTCATTTTTGTGGAAAGTCACTATTTGAGCATAGTTGAGACGGTAAGAGATGCTACTACCCGAGCTCAATTTGGACCTAAGAAAAACATCAATTAAGAGTTACTACCGTTATTCTTAAATCTTCTAATCTTCCCGATCAGATTGCTGCCGGATGTAATTTATCTTCTGTTGTGGATTCCTGGATGAAATCCAGTACCAATAAATAACAAACGCCAAGAAGGAATATAGGAAAATAAATGTATTAATGTAATAATACAAACTGGTAATGCTGGTTAGTAGTTCCAGAAATGCGGGTTAGTAGCAATATATATATATATATATATATATATATATATATATATATATATATATATATATATATACAGTCTTTGTATCGACGTATCGCTGTATGACTTCTTACTGAGTCTTCGTGCTTGCTCACTGTGACTCTTGCTCGTTACGTTCGTGCTGGTTCGTGCTCGTTCGTCACCCTTCGTTCTACTCCAGGGTATTCACTAGCAGTAGTATACCCTGGGGGAGTCCATTTGTGTAAAAAATGGGAGTAGCCCTCAACATCTTCATACCGAGTAATGTGTTTTCATTTGAATTAATGTTTGGGGCATAAACACTGACTAATATCGTATAATGTCGCACTTCGCAAGAGACATTCGCATTTTTATCGTGATCCTTTATATTAGTTCGTAATTCTTCTAGCCTTTCTACAAGAGAGCTCTTTATCTGCAACGGCTACGCGTGACCACCGTTTAATCCTTTACCTCTTGTACTTCCAAAAAAATGAATACGCCCCAGCTATCTTAAATTAGTCAGTTTCATCATTAAGCCTAGTCTCTGACAGGGCACAAATATGTAGGGTATATCGTTATAGATCCTTAGCAGCACAATCCTCCGTTCTAGTCTATTAAACAACACTATACCAATCAGTTTCTTTTGTTTTGTTTTACGGCATATCAACCTCAATGGGTTATTTAATGCCGACAAGATTTTTATTGCTGGTAATATTTTTTTTTTCAAATGTATTGCTGGTAAATTTATTACTTTCAAAAATCTTTTTTTGGTTATATTTTTTCTTCAAAAATGTTTCGCTTGTAATTTGTTTTTTTAAAAAATGTATAGCTGGTAATATCTTTTTTCAAAAATACATTGCTGGTAATAATTTCTTCTTCAAAAACTTATTGCTGGTAATAACTTTTACAAAGTATTTCTGGTATTAAAACATATTTTTACACTTGTTTTAAACCCCGTTTGGCGGTTAACTATTTGCCCATAGCTGCGACCCAAACAGGGGTTACCACCTCGGGTCTGGGTGGACCTGGGAACACTAGCAATTAAGAAGTGGTTCCACGCTCCTCAAAACCTCCTGATCAGAGGTCTTGCTGTTGGACGTAGTTTATCGTCTTACCCAGGACGCGGGTGTTGTTTATCTTCATACCCAGGACGCGGATGTAGTTTATCATCATACCCAGGACGGACCATGCCAATCAGAGTTCTTACATACCAACACATATCATTCATTAATCGTAACCAAGTAGCAACGTCTCCACCGAGCCTTGGCTATGATGGCCAACTAAACCTGCTTTGACAAACTCCTTCACCCCTGAAATCCGAAAAGCCATATTGTCATTTACCTCAAAATCACTTTCTTTGGTTGTGATATGTCCCGGAAAGGGATATATTTGTTAGAAGTAGCAAAGTGCTTTTGGACTACTGTAACCGGGTAGGACAATCTAGTAGGTAACCGTAATGGACTGGTCCTTGTCGTAGAGGTCGGCAATTGGCGTAGGCAATAGGCGAAGACTGTAGGCGTCGTCGTCTGTACCTCGACATCAGTCTGTATTTATGGCTGACACCAGCCAATTATATTAATGTGAGGGGGAACCCAGGTGTATGCATATTCATTACATCAGGTTGCAATTGTCTTTCACAGCATAGAAAAAGAACCTTACGATATCAAGCAATGCCTGTGTAGGAAATATTTAACGTAGAGAAAGTCATTACATTGGGTCAATCCCACTCAGTGAAAGAATGGCGTGATAAACACCAGACAACAAGTCTTAGATTTTGTCAAATCGCAGGAGCTACATCAGAGATTTCCTTCGAGCTGAATACCTTAAGAAAGAGGCCAGGGGACTAGTACGCTCCTAGTGGGGGCTTATCGGGTGCCTAAACACCAATCAAAGAGTTGCTTGGGGAACGTTGATTTAATGATCGATTCATCCGCCATTTCACATGTTTTAATTTTAAACCTACTGGATATATACTAGAGCATCGTCCTCACCGGAAAGGACTGGCGGAGGACCTTATTTATTCGCTGATAAACCGGCGACGGGGCGGGTTTTAATGGTTTACTACTAGCATTAATAGACTGTGAGATAGAGATAGATAGAGATAGATAGATAGATAGATAGATAGATAGATGGCATAGATAGATGGCAACAGAATAGATAGATAGATAGATAGATAGATAGATAGATAGATAGATAGATACTGTACAGACTGAGTTATTAAATAGATTGAGCTAATGCATTTATAAGATAATGCGGTGCCTCACACAGTTTGATAGGAACATAGTGAGATGGATATATATATATATATATATATATATATATATATATATAATATAATTATTTATTTAAAAATATGATTCCAAATCGCTACATGAGAGGTCTCATGTTTCAAAACTAGAGCCGAAAACTTCAATATAATCCTTTAAATTAAATTGAGTTGAAAGTAAAATGGGCTCTGTTCCATCCTCAAGCGAAATTTTTGTTGGAAAATATATATATATATTAGCAAAGATAGATAGATAAATAGATAGATATGAAACGACTGCAATAGATAGATAGATAGCTAATGAACAGACTGCGATAGATAGATATTAACAGATTGAGATAGATAGATAGATAGATAGATAGATAGATAGATGACAAGGAACAGATAGATAGATAGATAGATAGATAGATAGATAGATAGATAGATAGATAGATAGATACTGTACAGACTGAGTTATTAAATAGATTGAGCTAATGCATTTATAAGATAATGCGGTGCCTCACATAGTTTGATAGGAACATAGTGAGATGGATATATATATATATATATATATATATATATATATATATATATATATATATATATATTAGCATAGATAGATAGATAGATAGATAGATATGAAACGACTGCAATAGATAGATAGATAGCTAATGAACAGACTGCGATAGATAGATATTAACAGACTGAGATAGATAGATAGATAGATAGATAGATAGATAGATAGATAGATAGATACATACATACATACATACATACATACATAGAGAAATAGATATGAACAGATTGAGATAGATAGATAGATAGATATGAAGAGATTGAGATAGATAGTGTAAAGACTGAGATATTAAACAGATTGAGGTAAATGCATTGATAAGATAATGCGGTGCCTCACATAGTTTGATAGGAACATACTGGGATGGATGTATAGAAAGATATTAGCATAGATAGATAGCTAGATAGATATATATGAACCAACTGGAATAGATAGATAGATAGATAGATAGATAGATAGATAGATAGATAGATAATGAACAGACTGCGATAGAGAGATATTAACAGATTGAGATAGATAAATAGATAGATAGATAGATAGATAGATATGAAGAAAGATATGATCAGATTACGATAGATAGCTAGCGAGCTACCTAGCTAGCTAGATAGACAGACAGATAAAATATAACGTATTGTAAAGGAATAGAGTGTAAGAATGTGGAGTTTTTTGGGAAACAGATCATGAAATAAATACTGAGTAAGATTTAGACATTGAGAACAAAAAAAAAAAAAAAAAAAAAAAACGGAGAGATTTATGAGAAATCGAAAGCAACCGAGACTGTAAGTAATATGAGCCTCTGAATTGGTTGGGATCGGAGACACGGGCCCGTACATTAATGTCTGTGAATCCGAACAGCGAAAAGTAAGCAAATGCAAGACGGCCTTTTACCCTCTGTCCATTGTTCGCATTACACATTCTAAGCCAGCAACAGACATGCCCCCAAGGCCTACCTCTGTGGCAACTACACATTAAGGTAAGTAAAATGTCCATGGTGAATTTCCACGATTTTTATGTAGCCCCTCACACGTATGTAAAGTGATGCTATCTGATAATTCATGTGTAGCAACGGGCAATCATCCGTTATAAATGGAAGCACTTTTGACCAATGAAAATACTTTTATTGCGACGTTGGATCAGCCACATTTCCAATCACTTTTATAGTTAAGTGTGATACATTAAAATGTCTTAGTCGATAACGGAACTACTTTCGAGGCTATACTCACCAAATGATCCAATATCGGATTCATTGGAATGATATAGTCAATGTGTGATATTTAATTAAGAGCTGACCACAGGCTTCGTCTGTTAAAATCTTATAGGCTTTCAACTGTGGGAAGCGAGTGCTGCATGAAACCAATACACTGGCAATCGAAAGAGCTGCATACATACAAAATACAGTCCCTTCTCAGACGCGCCGTCGCCTCTCTCTGTCTTCTTTACTAATACTTTCATGGCAATTGCTCCGATGAGCTGCTTTCGCTGGTTCCCAGACTTCATGAGTTCAAGCGCCCGCTCTCACCCTTTCACTGTCGAAACTCCTAAATATAGCCGTCTCTTCTACTCCAATAGCTTCATATCTCGCACCTCTTGCCTGTGGAACTCCCTTCCCTATTCTTGTTTCCTTGAGAGCTATAATCTCCAAATATTCAAATGTAATGTCAATCGACATCTCCAGTTGTCTTGATCTATTCACTATCCTTCTCCTCATCCTTTCCTCTATCACTCCTATCTGATCTTGCTCGAAATCTTCTGTAACCCCTTGCGTCCAAGTGGCTTCCCGCCTTGCTTGGGGCGAAACACCTAAAAAAAAAAAAAAAAAAAAAAGCCATGACTTTCTTAGAAACGATAACGAATGTCATTCCGGCGAAAAACATTGTTAGGAATATAAAATCAGATAGAGTACCTTCAAATTTAACGGAACTTTGTATAGTTCAGCGTTCCTTTTTTTATATTTATTTTTATTTTGTATACTTTATTGTTTAACTATAATTCTATAATTTTATATTTATCCCCCTATATTAGATTATAATAATATTTATTCCCTTTATATTAGATTATACTTATACGTTGAATTAATTTACAATATAACTTTGCTTCAACAAGACCCATAGTTTTTTTTTTAAAACAACCGTATCAAATAACTAAACCCGTTCATCTGGTATCATTTATTCCTATATTTAGATTTTTATATTCTTTTTATAGTCAATAACGAAAAAATATTTTTGTTTAAACCTATTTATAATACGCACCACTACTATCGCCTGTCATTTACAGAAAAAAAAACAAACAAAAAAACTTATTACTTTCGAGAAATTTCGAAGAGAAATAATTTCCGAAGAGAAATAATTTTATATTAGATGATAAATCTAAGGTATCTGTTAGGATCAATAACCTTTATATATATATATAATATAACTAACCAACTTGACTTAAACAAAAAATGAAGACTCCATTAAATTGTTTTATTGTAACAAGATGCATCATATTTACAATTAAACGAAACGACTTTTAAAATTAAAATCCGCCGGTATAAAAAGCTATAGATCTTAACAAATACATTAGATTTATCTTCTATTATAAAATTATTTCCTCTTCAGAAATAATATAGGCAACCAACTTGATAGAAACAAAAATAAAGTCTCCATGAAATTGTTTAAGAATATCCCTGTAAATGGGCAATATAAATAAAGACAAAAGGAAAACATATCTTATCCAACGTTTTTTTTTTCCTATGAGGGTCTGTATCAAGGCAAATACAATGAGTTTATTTTGTAACACATTTAGTAGAAGAGAAAGTAACTTAGACGGAACATTCTTGAGAGTGACGCTATCGAATCTTATCAAAATATAAATCTACGCCCTGGATGTTTCCAAATGTCTCCGTACCTGAAAGAATAAATACTTTTCCAAGCCAACATTCAGGAGTAAAAAACGGTTAAAAATGAAAACAAAAAAGGTTAAATTCCTAATCTCCTGTTATTTAAAATATATAATACACAAATTAATCAAATTAATCACAAACTAAAATAATTTAAATATTAATTTGTATTAAAAAAAAATTGAAGAACATCATTTAAGCAATTTCGTTTATAACGCATTGAATTGTATCATTTGGTGTCTTCCATAGCTTTCCTATAGTTTTCGGATAACCTGATGAATATTTATCAGTGCTGTTAAATTTAAAATAAAAAAAAAATAACATTTTTTGTTCCTGTATGTAAATACTTGTTACAAAATAAAATCCTTGCATTTGCCTTGATAAACACGTCAGCTACGATAGATTTTCCTTTTGCGCTCGGCAAAAAAGAACATTCGGACGGTTTTTATATAATTTATGATCTGAAACAAAAATAAGATCACATGAGAAATTGAATAAAAACCTAATCAAAGCACCTTGTCTGTCTTATTCAAATAAATGTGGATGAAAGAAGGATTGCCGCCTAAACAAACAAACAACACACACACACACACACACACACACACACACACACACACACACACACACACAGAGAGAGAGGCGCGCGCACACAAATACACACACACGTATATGTATATGGCGACTTTTAGATATGACGGGTTCAAAAAATATAGCCCTTTTTCATGAATTTATCCTATAGTATATCCTGTAATATAAGACGACTGGTTATTGATAACATAAAGGTGATGAATTTATCCTATATCTGCAGTATAAGACGACTGGTTATTGATAACATAAAGGTGATGAATTTATCCTATATCTGCAGTATAAGACGACTAGTTATTGATAACATAAAGGTGATGAATTTATACTATAACTGCAGTACAAGAGGACTTGTTATTGATAACATAAAGTTGATGAATTTATATAACTGCAGTATAAGACGATTGGTTATTGATAACATAACGGTGATGAATTTATCCTATTACTATAGTATAACACGACTGGTTATTGATAACATAAGGTGATTAATTTATCCTATAACAGCAGTAAAAGACGACTGGTTATTGATAACATAAGGTGATGAATTTATCCTATAACTGCAGTAAAAGACGATTGGTTATTGATAACATAAAGGTGATGAATTTATCCTATAACTGCAGTATAAGACGACTTGTTATTGATAACATAAAGGTTATGAATTTATCCTATAACTGTAGTATAAGGTGACTGGTTATTGATAACATATAGGTGATGTTATTGGCAATGTAGTTACAGTATCCATAGAAATTCAAAAAAGGTTTCTTGCCCAACTTTTTTTAAAAAATTTTTCTCATTTATTTATTTATTTATTTTGTTTTGGATAATTTAAAAAAATTCCATTTTTTCTTGTTTCACTTGTTTTTTTTTTTGCTTTTGATAAGTTACTATTCGTTGATTTTATTTAACATTTTCTGAAGGCTATGAAAGTAGCAAAACCAATTTGTCTTAGTCAATTCTCATACCTGGACGTTTCAAGATTTTCATGACAGCAAAAGAATAATAAAATACAATTAAAACAGAACGAGTAAATCAGTAAATCTCGTAGGAATTACTAAATGTGGTCGAATGAGGTTTCGGCCGTTGTACGCACCGATCACCTTCAGGTGAAATACGTTGGAATTTCGGATCGCACCATTTATTTAGTCCAAGGGAGTAGATTATTATTATTATTATTATTATTATTATTATTATTATTATTATTATTATTATTCATTCGCTATATCTAAACAGTTAAAAACACTCTGGTGTATTAATGGCCATTTACATATATTTCATCGACAATCACAAAATACCGCTAATGACAGTACGATAATAGTACATTCTATTGCTGTGAATGCAATCATACAACAATGTTTATATTTTCTCAGCTGAGCTTGCATGGATACAAATTGATTTCACTGATATGGAATTATTTTTCGAATAGGCAATTTATTATGAAGTTATGTCAGTAATGTATGAGGTAGAAATGGTTTTATTACATTTATTATCAGTTTATTTGATAATGTGAATGATAATGTACATTATTGGTTATCGCACTGTGGCAGAGGTTAATCTACGAACAAACATCACTCAGAATTTAAGGTTTCTGTTTTTAGAATTGTAGTATGTGATGACCCGAATCTTTAAGGGTGATTTTCGGTATCTTATACGTGAAAATATACGTTCTATATATATATATATATATATATATATATATTGTGTATTTAGGCAGCAGTTTTTCATTCATACATTTTTAAATTAATTTAATATAGTGTTGTCTATTTATTTTATGTAAATTAGTAGCAGAAGCCATTGGTATATACCAACAGCTTCCCATACTTAATACTTCTCGAATTCACTCTCGCGTGGTCATGCGGTGCGATTTTCGCTTCCAGCGTCTTATATGCACGTGTTTATCGTTGCCTGGAAATCATCCATGTAAACTGAAACAGACTATTATCACATTCTTGTCCGTGTATCGCTTAATATATTGTACTGTAATTGTCATCTTTGATAATGGATTATGTAAGCAGAAAGCTTAGATTGGATTAAAAAATATGTACCAGTATTGTGATTTTCTTTCTTCGTTTAATGATAATGTTATTCAGCTTAAAAGACGTTATGAAAAGAATTTACATAAAATAATCACGTTGACACTGGTATCCACCCACACTTTTTACTACAATCAGTGGAAGGTGTTGCCAGAGGTTTGGAATGTCCTGGATTAGGCATGCTCATATTTTTAAGTGGGAGTGAGAACAGATACTATATTTGGCATTTACTCGTCCCTGCGTCCCAAGTATGACGACAAACTACAGCCACGTCCTGGGTAAGACGATAAACTACATCAGACAGCAAGGCCTCTGGTTAGGAGGTCTTGACGAGCGTGCAACC